AGGCAAACCAAGTTCGAGCATCATATTGACAAGTGAACAGCATATGAGTAATAGGCTCACCATCCCCACCACAAAGATCGCAAGCAGGGCTCCCCGAATTAATTTTATTCTCTTGAAACGGCAATACATTAAAGTTCAGTTTTATGTCCATTTGTGTTTGTTCAGAAGCTTTGCACATTTCTTCCGGCTAGTAATTTCCCATATGGTTAAGTGCTTTTTCTATGCCAGTAGTGATATCTAAATTTTCCAGTTAAATTTAGTAGATTATGTGAAAAAGGCAATAACATTAACACTTTGTTTTGATTGAGGAAATTGGAGGGAAAGGAGAGGAGAGTGGGACCAATGATTTGTTAATTCGAATGGAAGGAGTTCAGTTCCTTTTAAATAATATCTCGATTTCGAGTCTCGTGAATGGAGAAACAAGCGCTGAGAGAACTTCCCCTAATAGGGTCCAACACGGCTCAATTCTGGATTAGTAGGGACCCAATGTGATCACCAGATACCGAAAGATTAATACAAAAAAAAAAAAAAAGGAGAGGAGAGGGGGTGGTGAAAGTTTCTTTTCTTGTTTGGATAAAAAAATTTTAATAGAGGAGAGGGAGATGAAGGGGGATGGAGCCCCTTTCCTTCTCTGTTTGCAATCCCTTTGATTTAGAGGGATTGGAACCGATTACATTAATTAACTTACTTTTGTTTTAAATTTTATATAAAATAAATATATAAACATTTTATTTCAACTATTTATTTAATTAATAAATTTTAAAAATTTTATTCTCTTTTATTTTATTTTTTATTAAATTATTTAATTAAAAAAATATTATCATTTCCTCTCTTACACTTTCATTTATCCAAACAAAACTAATATCAACCTTTTTCTTCTCTTCACTTCTCCTCCCTTTCCTTTGCCTCCCTTCCCCTTCCTTTCCTTTAGTAATTTATATCCAAACATAGGCTAAATTGTTCTGGAAGTTTAACCTCTTTTTTAACCTCAAATCTGAATTCTCAATGTATTTACAGGTCGACAATCCCTTACCCCTTCGAAAACAACAACAGTTTCTCCATTGAGAAAGGGCCCATATGTTACATAACTATGCCCAGTAATCCAACCACAATCTGCTGCACACCTATAATCAGAAAAAAAAAAAAAAAGTATTCCATAACATTCAGTAGAATATGAAGGAGCACAATGATAGAGTAAGTTTAAAAAGAAAAAGAACGGAGAGTTTCAAAGGTACCAG